AGGATGAAGTGATTTGATTCCTTAAAGCAGGAAATTAGTTGGCGTTTTTGCACTTCTAGTTCCTTGTTTATAATCCGACTGGGTTTTTGGTTAGACGGCTGAAAGTGTGTGGTTAAAAGTCTTTCAGCATTTGCACGTCTTGTCCTACAAGATAAAATATGTTGGTGTCTGTCCTCAACTTTGGAGGTACCGTCAGTCAATTTTTAAAGTTATTTAATAGGGGGGGAAAAGAATATTATACTCATCAATATATATTGATTAGTGTGTAATTACGTCTATCAACAATTTGATGAGGAAACCACCCTGATCCCTCGCCATATTTGGAATAAATCAAGTTTTGCCTGTTTGCCTAGAGACCAGTCACATACGTAAGACGTCAAAGGCTGAGGAGAAGAGAAGTAGTAGTTGTTTGCATGTTGTGGAGGAACATTTCAACTTATTCCTGCACCTTCAGACTCATTATATGAAGCGCCTTACATGTTTTATCGTCAGAGAAGACACAGAAAACACAACAGAAAGCGACAAAACCACCACTATCATAATAAAACGACGCCCTCTTCCTCCTCGCCTCGAGCCTCATGTTCTGAATTGAAGTCATTTACATTTTATGACCTGATTTATTGCCAAGTGTTACTATTCAAATATGTTAACATATAGTGATACAAAACTGTGCTTTTTACACAAACACCACATGACGCCAGCCTGCCGCGGCCGTTATGGGACACAGCTTATATTTCATGGTTTTGATCTCTCTTGACTAAAGCGTGTTCTACAGCAGCCGCCGTAATGAGATTACATACTTGAATTAAAGGTTAAGAAAACAGAACTGAGGTGTGTGGAATATCCACAGGCCTCATTGTGTGGAGTAATGGGCTGTTGTTAAAAGAAGACATTTTTCTGTTTCAGCCTGATCGTTTCAATTCAAAACCTGATTTATTCTAAAAACTTGTCTTTGATTACTGCCAAATATGTGTTTTCTGCTTTTCTTTTTAATAAAACAAATTGTCTTTCCCTTTGGTAAGTTTTGGGATGTGATCAGTCTGATTGTTTTGGTGTTTTTCATGCCGTCAGGTGAGCCTCCTTCATGCCACTCTGCTGCTGAAGTGTGCCTTCACAGACAGCCTGTTCAGCTCTGAAGACGAAGCCTTCGTCCTCAAACGGCTGGTGGTGCTCTCCCAGCACCTGCTCCTGAGCACGCCTGAGAAACTCTTCTACATGGACTGCATCCTGCACTTCCCGGAGAACCGGCCCATCAGCTGCGGCGACGGTGACGAGACCCTCCCCGTGCTCCTCACGCCGCAGCTCGCTTCAGCTCTGGTGCCCACCGTGTTTAATGACAGCGCCACCCTGCTCGCCCGGTTCAACATGCTGTCCCTGGTGTACCTGGAGGAGGGGGAGGAAGGCCAGGGAGGCCAGGGGCTGGCCTACCTCTACGAGCACCTGAGCTCGCTGCTGAGCATGGTGGAGAACGGGTGCAGCAGAGAGCTCGTCGTCACCTTCTTCAGAGCGGCCTTCCTTTTCCTGTATTATTTCTGCCACGTGGAGCGTTACTCCAACGACCTGACCAAGCAGCTGTGTCTGCTCTACCTCAACCACACCAAGCTGGCTCCACATTTCATCAACCTGGCTGACCAGACCCAGGACAGACTGTCTGAGTCCAGCTGGTCTGTGGGGCTCCTCAAAGCTCTGCAGAGGGTCATTACTGAGGCTCCGCTAACCCAGCTCACCTCGCACGACCTCAGCCGGCACCTCAAGATGCTGGCCCGAGTGGCGGAGGAAGGAGAGATCATCCAGCAAAGCAGCCTCACCTTCCTCTTCAGCATCGTCGCTCCCTCGTCATCCTCGTTGTGCACAGGTGGCGATTGGCGTCTGGGAAACGACATCCTCAGGGTCTGCCGCCATCTGCTCGTCCACCCAAGTCTGGACTCGCTGCTGACTCCTCTGGCTGACGTCCTGCAGCTCCTCGTCTGCCACTACGCAGACATGGAGATCCAGGACCACGCCCGTCTCTACTACACCCTCCTGACCACGCTGTCGAGGGAGAAGCTGGCTGGGGTGTTGGCGCAGGGCATGGAAGAGGGAGGGCGTCAGGACAAAAAGCAGTCGCTGTCCTGCCTCATAGGTGAGGGGCTGACGAGCACACTGACCATCCAGCAGACGGAGAGAGCTGTATTCAGGCTGATCGAGGCCCCTCCTGAGCCACGAGCAGGAGACATAAATTCAGATGAAGTACAGAAAGGCCCGGGGGAGGCGAGCGCATCGCTGGAGGCCTACAGAGATCAATTCAGTGACTCCGGCTTTGCTTCAGAGATCACCTTACAGTACCAGCTGGTCCACATCAACTCTCATGACTCCCACTTTGATCAACTCTTTAGCATCCGCCTTCACTTCAGCCTCACAGACCATCACTACGAGGAGCTGGGCGACATCAGCGTCCCATGTCTTCTCAGAGAGAGGCCGTCGGCCATAGTTCAGCTAACACTGAAGCCCAGGAAGCCTTACCCCACCAGCCTCCACGCCAGCGCCATCTTCACCTCTCCAGATGGCCATACATGGCACACCACCCTACCTGACATCCATGTATCTTTCCAGCAAACTTTCCTGCCTCTGCCTGTCCCCTCAAACTGGGGACGAGGCGGCACACTGAGCGTGTTCGAGGGTTTGTGGGACGAAATCTGCTCAGAGAGCGGAGACAGTGCTATGAGCCTTTTCTGCTGCCAGCTGAAGGAAGCAGCTCTAAATACACTGGTGGAAAAGCACTTCCTCCCCTTCCTCATATCAGGCGCGTCACATAAAGAAGAATTCAAAGTGCTCTTCTTCCTCCCACCACGCTCTCACATCCTGCTGAAGGTAAGCTCAGAGGAGGACGCCGTGCACTTCAACATTGCCACGGATAACTGGGAGCTTCTGTCTCATATTAACTCTTACCTTCTAAAAATTACATCATTACAGGAAGACGCGCTCAGCTGACTGTGATGGACAATAGTGGGCTGATTTTTAAAAATGGAAATGCACTTTTAACATCCATATTTTTCAAAGTAAGATGTAAATGGGACTGACTGAAGACAGTTGATTTAAAATGAAGAAATTGCACTTTGATTTTGTTGATATGCAATTAAACAAACATTATTTTCTGGAGACAAAAAAAATCTCATCTTTACACTTTTATTTTATTTTTAAGGAAAGGCAATCTATAACTTACGAGTGTGCAAACTCATCAACCAGATAATTAACCATTGTTGCCCTCACTTCTGTACCAGTAAAGCAATTGTTTATATTAACAGTGGCCATATTTGATTACTGTACAGTGATGTTAAACAGTAAACTAATCATTAGGAACATCCCGAACCCTGCCATGTATTAGCCATTGGTCTAAATATTGGTAGTAGTCTTCTCTCTTTTGGCTGAAAAGCTAGAAAAAATAAAGACACTGGAGAAACATGCTTCAACCACAAGTGTTGACATTGTAGTTTGTCCACTAGAGGGCGCTGATGGAAATGCCACAGGGACGACAACCAGCTGACTGGTGCAGTCAGACCATAAATAAGTTGTCACTAGGGATGCAACGATACCAATTTTTTCAAACCGATACGATACTGATACTTGGATCTGGGTACTTGCCGATACAGAGTACAAAAACCGATACTTCTACCACACACACA